CGGGCCCACAGGAAATCCTTGTGATTCCCCAGCCAGCCCCCCCACTCCCCGTCCAGCAACAGGGATGCCGTGCTGGGATTTAAGCTTCTGAACACACAAAGGGAGCAAATGTTGCCAAGTTCATTCCCGAGAGCGGAGGCAGATACTGAGGAGCTTCTCCTGCAGAATGAATAAGCTCGCAGAAGTGACAGACGCTACAGCCACGGGCTTCTCCTGTCAGCAGTTGCTGCCTCTTGCCGCAGAAGGGCCGGCCGCAGCAAACCTACCGCATAGCACCGCAAGCGGGGAAAAGCAAAGGGTGCACAACCTCCCTGCGATGGCCCCATCCGCACCCAACAGAGCCACAGGTGCCAGGGCGGAGATGTTCCCCCTCAGTGCCAGCAGAAAAGGGACATCTTCCCAGCTAGACACTTGGGCATCTGCTTGGTTCAGCTGCCCTTCCACAAACCTCAGACATTTCATTTCAGTGGCAAGGCACAATTTGACCTGACCCTGGCTAATAAACCCTGATGGTCTTTGTGACACAAAATCAGTTCCGAGTTCCTCTCCACGCGCCCCAGGAAAAGGAACGGATTGGAAGTCGCATGAGGTAGATGCCTACTGCGACGAGGACCCGGGGATGTCTCCAGCCAACCTGGGCAGACAGGCAGCTAGCTGCCCTACCTGCTGGCTATTTCTTTTGTGTAGGCTGGGAGGCAGAATCTGCTCCCTCCTTCACAGGGAACAGGGGTGGGACTCCTGATGCAACTCCTGCACACATGCTGCCCGACGGGGAGCTTGCAAGGGCCACCTTGTTAATACAGGCTGGAACAGTGCAAGTTAATACATCATTTATCAAGGCTGATAAATCCAGCTGCAAGAAGCAGGCAGAACAGGTCATGCTCTGCTGCCCAGCGTGCTCCAGGGCTGCTAGTTGCCCTCCACGGACTCCCTCTGCCTTGCCAAGCTCAGCCGGCAGAAGGAAAAAGCACATGCGTGAAAGGGAGATGCCACTTCACACGGGGCAATGAAACAGATGTCGGACCACACATGAGAGAGGCGGCACACACAGCTCGGCAAGGGGCAGCGGGCTCGCAGCGATGCTTTTGCCTGGGGAAGAGCTGGTGGTAGACAGAGAACACAACCTAGTGAGGCCGGGAAGGAGCAGCTTCTAGGAACGGGGTGAGGGGATGTAGCCAAAGCGGGCAGGCTGCAGGCTTCCCATTCAGTTACGGCTCTTATGGTCCCTTTGTTCCATTGTTGTTGATGCTGGAGGCCCCAGGGGATGATGCTGTGTCTCAGTACTGTACAGCGCTCCTTCAAGGAACAGGCTCTGCTCTGCATGCATCCCCCCTGCAGATCTCAATGGCAACCGCTTTGCTGGGTAACATCCATATGAATGGAGGTAATTAAAACCACTCACCAGCCTTTACCCCAGGGCTTTTCCCTTTAGATGGACCATGTTCTTCCTCCAGCGCATTTCCACCCACACTCCACTGTGCTAAGGTTTGTTCTGCACCACCACTGGGTTGTGACTTTGCTTGGAGAGGGTTTAGCTTGTATACACTGTTAGCTGCCCGGCCCGCAGGCAGGAGGGAGGGAGGGAGTTCCTGGGGAGCATTCCTGTGGGTTCTCTCACATCTCCCTGCTCGGGCATCAGCTCTGCCCTGCCAGCTAGGAGGGAGGCAGGCTGCTCCGAGAGAGCTTTTCCTCACCACCTCTGGGGATTAGGGGCTCAAGCCACTGCCAGCAGAAAGTGGGCACTGCACCATCAGCTGTACCTTCTTGGTTAAGCTGGGACCTGCCTGGATTTTTACAATTTCTCTTCTGCTCTGCAGCCGAGAAGGAAGAGAGGAGGACAAGGAGATGTGAGGAGAGGAATGCAGCAGCCTTGGCTGTTACTGCTGGGAGTCTTGTCAGGGCCAGATGATGCAGAACAGCCCAGCTCTGATGTAGCAGGGAGACAAGCGAGAAGCAGCCCAGCGCTAGGCACAGAGTGGGGGGGACACGTACAGCAAGCCCCGCTGGGAGGTTTGAATAGCAGAACACATTTCAGACAGAGGCCTGAGACCCAGCAAATCCAGACAAGTGGTGTGTGGGTATGGAGACCCAGAAGGAGAGAACTGAGCTCTGTGGGAAGAGGGCCATGATGGGAACACTGGCCTGGGGAGGGAGGCGGCATAATAAGGACAATTCTAAGAGTTTCAGGAGGTGCTGCTGAGAGGCAGGGTGGTCCTGGGGCTGAGGAAGAACGCTGCCACAAAACAGCACCCTCAGCTGCCAAATAAGCCACACTGAGTTAAGACTAAATGATTCCCTCTACAAATCATTGATCTCCCCTCTACCTCCCACTCCAACTCTTGCCAAACAGATAAATCTTGCCAGCACTCCGCCATTGGATTAATTCAATCCACTTGGCTGTGGAGATCAGAGATCCCAGAGAGGCAGCCAAACTTCAGCTTAGCCACAGCAAGGCTCAGCACCACGTGAGCCTCCCTTGGCCGTTACTGCCTCCTCCCAGCTAGGTCCACTTTCTACCTGGGTATCAGTCAGCTCGGAAAACATGCCCTGGTCTCCACACGCAGCTTCATACTGTACGATATGTAAACACACCAGTTAGCAGGCAAAGTCTCAGCAAAGAAGAGAGCCAGCTCACAGGTGGCACCAGCAGGAACAATATGACAAAATGAGTGCCTTGGGGGGTAAGGCAGCTCCCCTTGCCCTATTAACCCCTTTCCCACAGGGAGCCGTGCAGGTGCCACAGGGCTCCCTGTATCCCAGCAGGTGTAGGCAGCTGCCTTTCCTGCCTTACTGCTGGAGCAGCAGCATTTTCTCTGGTTGACGCTGGAGCGAGAGCAGGATCCCATGCCACAATGTGCATCTGGCTTTTCTGCTCCCACCTCCTGGATCACGCTGCCCCTCAAGACTGCAGAACCATCTGCGTGTCCTGGTAGCAACTCCCTGCAGAAGAGCGAGCTCCGTGCATGTTTGTTTTTGTAAGTTCAGCTCACTCGTGCCTAGGCATGAGCTTGTTGAGCTGAGGTGTTCCCACAAACCTCCCCAGCACTCGGCAGCAAACGTTAAAAGACAACAACCAAAAAGCAGCTTGCCAAGGGCATGTGGCATCCTATCGAAAACCAGAGTCCCCGAGTTGTGCGATGGGCACTTGGAGCACGCCCAGCAACAGAAAAGTGATCAGTCCAGCAAGAGTGAAGTGTTCAGCACAGCAGAAGCCCAGGGTAAATAATCTCCTGGGTCCTTTCCGTTTGTTTTCTAGGATGCTATGCAGAGAGTGGGAAAGCCTAGGAGTAGAGAAGTGCTCTTGCAAAGAAAACACAACATTTTCTGTATTCCCTACCCCAGCTTTCCACTGATAAACAACTGCAGCATCTAACACAAAGTTTGCACAGAGTCAGCCTGCTCCACACAGGCCGGGCTCCCTGAACAGTCTGCATCTGGGAAGAGGCAATCTCTGGAGCCTCAGCAGTTATTAACCGTGGGACAATCTGGATGGCAATCCTGGAAGTTGCTCCTATGTGAACATGGAGATTTGTGCCCAAGCCTCCTCTGTGCACAAAGCTTTGCGGGTTTCCAAGAAGTAGCTGAGCACAGAGATTAAAAGGATCAGGAGCTCAGCGCTCTTGACTGATTTTGTAATCAATCCATTGCTGCCGTTTTTCCTTCTAGCTGCACAACACGCTCGGTGCCAGAACCCCCCGTCCGACCTAGACACTTGGGTGAAACACACCCTTGAAGGGCTTGCAGCAAACAAGATCTTCTGCCCCCCTCTCGCCTTGCAACTTCAGGAGGGGAAGGAGAAATCAAAACAGAACCCCCAGCACGCATCCCCTCAATCCTACCTGTCATCTTGTTGGTCCAGGGTAAGGAGTACTCCAGCAGGGACTTCAGGACTTCTGGAAAGTCCAGGGCAGCGGGGCCCCCGGGGCTGTTGCAGCTTGACATGTCCTGTCCTGGGACTGCGCTAGCACGGCTAAGGGAGGGCCAGGTGCCTGGCCGCCAACGCTACACCCCACTCGCCTGGGCGTTGCGAGAAGGGCTCGGAGGCACCCGGAGCGGGCTTGCCAAACTACTCCGGCTGAGAAAAAACGAGGAGGAAGGGACGCAGCCTGGCAGGGATGCAGTTTGCCCGGCTGTCTTCACCTCCCCCTCTCCCGCTCTGAAGTGTCCAATTGTGGAAATAGCTTGCAGCCTCGCAGGGCTGGGCCGGGCGGCTGGCCAGCGTGGTTTTACAGGGCCTCTCCCAGCCAATCCGGCAGCAAAGAACTGGGCCAGTTATCTAACTTTGCAAAGCCAGCACCCTTTTCCTTCCCAAGGTGTTATAACAAATACACGCACTGGGGTCGGGGGGGGGAAGTGCGCAGGCTGTCAGGGGTAGACCTTGGCTGCAAACGCCACGGAAAAGGGATCCTCTGAAGGGCTCTTGGGAGGCTCTGAGGAGCTCTGAGCTGCGCAGGCTGCCCCGTGGAGATACACGCGCTGTCTGCATCTGCCTGCTAACTTTCCAGCTCTCTGAGATGCAGACAGAGACAGTATTTGTATATGATGCAACGCTTACTGCGTGCCCCTCCTAAGGCAATATAGATAACGGCGTAAGGCATCTTTCTTATCAGGTGTGCATCATCCCCAAAATGCAGAATTTCTCTTCCTAAGTGGCACAGAGTTTTATCAGAAAGCCAACTGACTCCTCTGGGAGCAGTGATGTAAGGCAAGAGAGTTCATGCACCCTGCAAATACTCTGATAACGGCTGGTTAAGTAAGATCTTGAGCATGCAAAGCCCCTCCTCTCCTGTTAGTGAAGTTTTTAGCATGAAGGGATGGATTGGAGACAGGAGGATAAAGGTTCTGATCTTCTTTGTTGGGATCTGGCATGGGAAGGAGCATCTTACATGAGCCAGGGTCTTCTCTTTTGCTGGGTGTGATAATCAGAACAGAAGTGCCCTTATTTCTCAGTTTGCTCCTGTGTGTTTTGCCAGGCTCAGCCTTACAGTGCCAGTGTGAGTTGATGGGAACCTGGTATTCCTACACTGGGCTGTGAGCCCCAGCTGTCAGGGACAGCCCAGCAAAACCGTCTGTGGCTCTAAGCATGAAAGTAGCCTGAGCGAAGTCATTAGTACTCTTCTTGTGCCTGAAGTGAAGCGCTTCACTGGCCCAGCATTCAGAGTCTTAAAAAGTGATAGGGTTTTGCTCACTCCCAATAGCATGGTGTTTGGTCCCATAAGGAAATGCATTTGATTTAACCCAGTAGAAACCAAAAAGAAAGAATTACCTAGCCAGGTTGAGTGGTTGGGAATTTCAGATTAGCTGGGGAAGTTTCATGACCTAGATCCCAATCTAATCAGGCTCAGAAGTCACACAGTAGATGCTTTGGTAGACTTCTTAATTATGAAACAACTTCATTACCACCTCTTGGGATTTTCCGTGTGGTTTTCTCCCCCCCATTCCCCAGAGAGAATGTAAGAAAACAGCCAGTGATAACCATCGTGGTGAAGCCATTCAGGGAGAATAGTCTCCTCCTAACCCCAGGCTGTTACGGTGTCCTCCACCCACCAAGCTGGAGCCAGCAGACAGACCCTACAGATGGTCAGTGCGTTCTGACTGCTGGGAGCAAAGAAACGATTGCATCTCTCCCTCCTGAAGCACAGCCTGCCAGCCAGGAGGTCCGTGGCCTTTCCTGAAATCTTCTGGTCCATTCTGTCTGGGCAAAGCAAGCAGAGTAGGGCCACTCAATCCCACCAGGCATCATTAACGTTTGGGAGAGCTACCATCACATATGCCTAGGTCTGCTTCCCATCAAATGATGGCAAGGTAAAGTGGCTGGGAATGTGGTAGCTGCCCAATGCCAGGTGCAGCTGGACCTCCTGGTTTTGCCCCAGGCTCAAACTTGTCCTGAAAGCTGAACAAACATCTGACCGCCTGTCTGGAGGAACCCAAGGACTTCACAGCAGCTGCTGCAGCAATTGACTGACATTTATGGCTTCAGAAAATGAAGAAGTTAATTGAGAGGAAATTCACAGAATCATAGAATGGTTTGGGTTGGAAGGAACCATAAAGATCATCTAAATTGTCACTTAGCATTTTAAATTATTAGCAATGGACATCTGTAAGTTCTTGTCTAGAGATCTGAGAGTGCCTACCTCATCTTGTGTTTGCCATGTCCACAAAGTCTCCTGCCAACACTGTGTGTCCTTCTTGATTCATAATCCCTGAAAAATGAGCTCCCACCCAGGAGAGGAGCTTGGGTAACATCACTAGCAGGATGCATCCACACTGCCCTGACTTTGAGCCCCAGGGAAGCAGAAACCGTACAATGGAGTAGAGCCATAGCAGTGGGGAGTGTCCGTCTGCCCTTGCATCCCCCCCATGGAGAGTGCTTGAGCTGCTTTAGTGAATGGAGTTGAAATGTTGGCTCTGGAAAGCTGCAGGCAGGACCGCAGATTGCATCATTTGTGCTGGCTGCACTGTTATCGGATCAGATCATTATTTATTATTATTGTAATCTCATGTTAGTGGAGGTCTCAGCAGCTCTACTCCATCACTCAGAAGCCCAGCCAGCCCTTAACAGCACACTTTCTCACAGACTCAACCAGCTACAGTCAACTTACGCTGGCCGTAAGTGGGTGGCATGCAGAAGGTGGCACCTAATGTGGCAGAGAGGGCCAAACTCCAGAAACATCAGCTGAAATGGCAGAGGCCAGGACTACCTTCAGTGTCTTTTCTGTAGGTCTCCCGGTGCAGCTACCCACACTGCCCAGCCGTGCTGGCCGGGCCCCTCGGCACATTTGCCTGAGGAGCGTGTTCAGCAGTGCGATGGCCACAGGCAGTCCCAAGGGCAGGAGTGGGGGTCGTTCAACGTTTGCCTTGGTCCATGCTCTCCATCCTTTTAGATTTTTCATTTCAAAGTGTTGTTTTTTTTTTTTTAAGCACAACCACATTCTTGTCTTTTGCTTTGCCTCCCCACCCCGACCCTTTTGCCTCTCTGCAGTGCTCAGGTACTTCTGTTGGTACCAGAGCATGAAATGTCGCTCTTAAAACCCCTAATTCTACTCCTGTCTTTAGAGGGATCGCTCTACAGAGGTCTGTCATCAGGCCCAAAGCACACCAGGAACCACAGAGCACCACTGTTCAGGTGTTATTGGTAGGTACAGCCTTCCTGGCAGTTTGAGACCCCAAAGAATCGTTTCGGACACTCAGACCTCTGATAACAACCCTGTTCATTACACGGAGCTGGGCGAGGGGGCTCTCTGTGCATCTCTCCAAGTTGTTTCCCTCAGTCCCAGAAGTGCTCCCTCAACTCCTTCACAGGGCCACATCCACGGTGCTTCTGGAGCTGCCTTTCCACTGCTTCCCCTCCTGCCAGTGTCTTGCAGCTACCCTTGGCCCCAGAACAAGAGATGGTGGCACACCTGGGGGCCGCCTCAGTCAGAAACTCCTGGATCACTGCTGTGGGTCTTGTAGTTGGTGGTGGCACCTGGCTGCACATCGATTTCTGAGGCCACCGTTACAGAAGGGAACTTAGTTTTTTTCTTACTGGTATCTGAAAGCACAGCTCATGGAGAACCCACCAGCAGCAGTGACATTTGACCAAAGAAAGGCATTATTGGTTATAATTACTAATTGCTGTTATCTCAGCTTCCTCCAATGAGATGAAATCTTGGCTTGAAAATCTAATGGAATGTGTCCTCTTAGAAAATAAAAACCATTTTTTTCTGATTTTCTGAGGACACAAAGCTTACACAACAGTATTATCTATCCATCTATCCACCTAACCCTCCCTCCCGAGAACACGCTACTCAGGTTGCCAAAGGGATAAATATATTTAAATATCTTTTTTCTATTTGAAAGATAAGCTAGGAAGAAGAGAGTCAAATTAATGCCTCCTCAGAGAGAAAACCTGCTGTTATTTGTTCTCTTTGATCTGGGGCACACATATTGGCAGCCAACACCCCAAAGCACGTGCTGCCCCTGGCAGGCAATAGTGAGGGGACAGGCAGAAGCCAGCAGTACTGAGGGGACTTTGTGGTGACAGACAAGGTAGCTTACTCCCCTGAAGTGTATCTGGAAATAACGACAAAAATCTGTAAAAATCTCTAGAAGCTATACAAATCCTGCTGCTCTCGAAGCAGCTTTTTTTCAGTCACCCAAGACCATTCACCTTGGAAGCACAGCCACTATTTGGAAATTTCCGTATCTCCTCATGCAAGATGTCTTCTGCTGCAGGTCCCACACATCAAGCCTACTCCTCACAGTCTGCATGGAGGTTCCAGGCCCACCCATGGAGTTTGGTTCTTGCACCCAAAGCCAGCTTGGTAAATGGTTTCCTCTTTCTTCTTTTATCCAAGCAAACGCTTTGCCAGAGGTCAGTCACTGCCTCTTTGCAGACGTCTGTAATTTTTTTTTTCTTGTACTAGCTCCTAGTATGAGGCAGAGTATCGCAGGCATACACGTGCCCATGTATGTGTAGATGCGTGCCTGTTTCCCTCGGTGGAGGAGCAGCGCTGGGATCCCCCAAGCGAGCGGTACAGTTCAGTGGAAGGAACCGCCTGCACCTCCCGCCTGAGGCAAAAGGATTTCTAAAAATTAATTCCCCAAAATGAGTGCCAAAAAGCTAATGAGCTTTGCTTCCCCACCCCCCTGCCAAGATATCTCCCCCTTCTTGTGGTGCTCACGTGGCAGCCGGGCTCACCGCAGCCCTGCTCCTCTGCACGTGGCCTTCCCTTGTGAGGTGCCATTTGCCAGAAAACTAGGTGCTAGGCAGGGAGAAAACGTGAGAAAGGCTCTTAGGATCACCAGAAGTTGTGCTGCCCTGGGCAGGAATGACACCTAGAGCTGCCTTTCTGCATTTCCCTGCTCCAGAAAAGCTCTGGGAGCCTGGGCAGAGCTGGCTTTGGGAGCTCTCTGAACAAGCCTTGGCAGGAGGCAGAGCCCAGGAGGTGCCAAGAGCAGCAATAAACCAAGGCATTTAAAGCAGGATGGGGAAATCCAAGGACAGCAATTGCTGGGCCTCTGCCAGGGTCTGTGGGAGACTGTTGGGTGGGACAGCAAGGAAGATACACGCTCCTCCGGCTGCTTCCTTCGCAAAACGGAGAGGCTGGCTGTAAGGACCTCGGCTGTCCCTTGGCCATCCCTTCCCTTCCCAGGCTCACTCACCTCT